GAAGCAACTCCCTGGTGATGGTGGGGGGGGGGGGGGACTGAAGGGAGCCCCGAATATCGGGATAACTGCTAGAAGGACCTGGCATAGATGAACCCTGAACCGATGGAGCACGAGATGAACTCTAAGCTAGAAGGGCACTGCGAGATAACTGACCCTGACGAGCACTATATGAACCATGACTGGATGATACGCCACGGTGCACTGGATGAGTCATCTGAGCGGGCCTATAAGGACGACCCCTGTTGTGGTAGGACTTCCCCTTAAGAAGGAACACCACCAAAACCACCCGAACCTCGAGGCCTCTTGGCCTCCCTCTCCTCACGCTCCTAACTACGGACCATCTCTATCTGCCGAGAAATATCAACCACCTCACCGAAAGTAGCACCAGATACCCACTCCCGAGTCATAAGCAACTGCAGCTGATATGTGAGGCCATCAATGAACATCCTAATCCTCTCTCAATCAATCGGAACCAACTAAACTACGTGACAAGCCAACTCTGAAAACCTCATCTTGTACTGGGTCACAAACATGCCCTCTTGACATAGCTGCTCGAACTGTCTATGTAGCTCCTCCTTGCGAGACTGTCGCACGAACTTCTCCAGGAAGAGAACGGAGAACAGTTGCCATAAAAGTGGTGGTGCACCGACTGGCCTGCACCTCTCATAAGCCTCCCACCATCTGAAAGCAGACCCAATAAACTGAAAAGTAGTGAAAGAGACCCCACTGGTCTCCAGAATACTCATCGCGCGAACAATCCGATGGTACTTATCCAAGAAGCCCTGAGCATCCTCTGACTCAGCCCCGCTAAATGATGGAGGCTGAAGCCTCCAAAATATCTCTAGTCTCCTCTACTCATCATCAGTCGTAACGGGACCCACCTAGGCCTGAGCAGCTGCAACCAGTTGGGCTGGTAGTACCCCTGGTGTCTGGAGTCCCTACATCACCTGCTCTAGAGTACGGGCAGCAGGAGTTGGAGTACCTCCCCCTGCCTGAGAAGTGGCTATTACGGCTGGAACAGAGACCGCCTGAGCACGACTGGAGCACACAGTCAAAATCTGAGCCAAGGTCTTCTGAAAGCCTGGAATCACAATGGGCACAGTTGGTGCCTGAGCTGGTCCCACTGGCTCAACCGTATCTGGTACCTGCTCCTGAGCTGGAGCGACTAGTGGATCTGCAAGCGCTGCTCTAGCTGTTGTACGAGCTGCACCTCTGCCCCTACGCAGCCTTGGCCTCTTATGACCCTAGCTGGTGGCACTGGTGGCTATCCGACCTACCCGGTATCACGTGTCCTCACCATCTGTGAGAGAATAGAATAACATAAGTTTAGTTGTCGGAATCAACAAATCCGCACGACAAGAATACAAGAATGTGAAGTTTCCTAAGGGTTCCGCAGCCTCTCGAAGATAAGTACAGAGGTCTCCGTACCGATCCGCAAGATTCAACTAGACCTACTCATGACTCGTGAGACCTATGTAACCTAGGCTCTGATACCAACTTGTCACGACCCAAAACTTAGCCTGTCATTATGGCGCCTAACGTGGTACTAGATAAGCCGACACTTCAAAATACTTCCAACCCTTTTAAATGAAAAATAAAATAACACGGGTTTAAATCATCAAAACGCTAAAAAACTGGATCGAAAGTCAAAACCCAAATACGAAAAATTTCCAACATTCGAGGTGTCACTGAGTACATGAGCGTCTATACAGCACAAGTCTAGAAATACTATCTATGAAAGACTAAAACTAAATACATAAAGCTGAAAGATAGGGAAGGAAAGACAAGGTCTGCAAACGTCGGGCAGCTACCTTGGAAGCTCCAAACGATCAAGCTGCGCAGAGAATCAACACCCACCATGTCCAGAAACACCTGGATCTGCACACGAAGTGCAGGGTGTAGCGTGAGTACAACCAACTCAATAAGTAACAAGACTAAATAATGGACTGAAAGTAGTGACGAGCTTCACGGATGTAGTCCAATTACAGAAATTACAACATAGGAAGATAGGCATGCTTTCAAATTTGACAATTAAGGCCAAAATAGTTAATTCATGTCAAGTTCAATTGAAACGGGATATAACATCTCTCAGAAATTACATGACAGTGATATATACCAGCTGAAGTACAATAGTAATGCATCAAGTGCATAACCTCAGAGAAACAGTCACCCAGTCCTTCCATTCACTCCAACCTCATATTCACTCATTCCTCACAGTCGCTCATTTCTCCCAATAGCTCAGCACTCGCACTCGGCACTCACACTCAGTAGGTACCTGTGCTCACTAGGGGTATGTACAGACTTCGTAGGGGCTCCTTCAGCCCAAGCGCTACAACAAGCCAATCATGGCATAAACTAATAAAACATGTTATGGAATGCAGCCCGATCCCATAAATATCCTCACCATCAGGCCCTCGGCCTCACTCAAGTATCAAGCTCTCCAGTCTCTTGGGCTCTCAATAATCAGGATAATCAGCCCAAACAGCGATGATATAATGTATCAATAAAGAATAACAGAGACTAAGATATAATATGCAAGTAAAACTATGACTGAGTACAAAGCAGCAATTTAGCAAATAATTCAATATGTAACACGGCCTCGGTGAGTCCCTACAGTACCAACACATAGCCTAAACATGATTTCTAACATGATTTGCAGTTCAATTTCTATAACACAAGGAGAATATACGGATAACAACAGATTATTCAACTACACAGTTCCATAGAATTGACCATGTCACAATTCCTACGGTGCACGCCCACATGCCCGTCACCTAGCATGTGCATCACCTCAAAACCAATCACATTATATAATACGGGGTTTCATAGCCTCAAAACAAAATTTAGAACTGTTACTTACCTCAACCCGTACAAATCCCTACTCAAACACGCCCTTGCCTCGCAAATCGGCCTCCAAATATACCGAATCTAGCCACAAACAGTTCGATACAATCAACATGAACTAAAGAATTAATTCCATAAGAAAATACTAGTTATTAATCAAAACTCAAAAGTCGACTCCCGAGCCTACGTCTCAAAATCTGATTAAAAGTCACAAAACCCGAAAGCCCACTCAACCACGAGTCCAACCATACCAAACCTACCAAAATCTGACACCAAATCGTCACTCAAAACCCCAAATCAAACTCTCCAAATCCCTAGCCTAAAACCCCCAAATTCCGCCTTAAATACACACAACTAGGAGGGAAATTCAATGGAGAAATAAGATTATTGAAAAAAAAAAAAAAGCACAAGTGGCTTACCTCAAGAATCCCTTCGAAATCCCTCTCAAAAATTGCCCAATACCGAGCTTGAAATGTTTAAAATGAAAAAAAATCGCGAACCCTTGAATTTAAATGTTCTGCCCAGGGGTCTCGCACCTGCGCTCCACTTGACCGCATCTGCCGTCCAGCTTCTGCGGATAATCCTTTGCTTCTGCTGAAACTACTAAAGTCCTCAGGGCCTGAACCTGCGCTCCAGGTTCAGCACCTACTGAAGCGCTTCTGCGGCCCATGATCCGCTTGTGCTGGAACAGCCTACGCCCCTCTACTCCGCATCTGTAGAGCCTTGCTCCCACTTGCGGGCTCGCAGATGCAGAATACACCTCGCACCTACGTCCTACCCCCAGGCCATCCCATCTCCGCATTTGTGCAACTCCAGCCACACATGCGGTGTCGCACATGCGGCCAACCCCTCGCGGGTGCGATCAAACCAGAAAACTCCCAGCTTCAGCAACATACTAAGTCTCATTTTCGATCCGTTAACCATCCGAAATCAACCCGTGGCCCCCGGACCTCAACCAAACATAGCAACAAGTCCTAAAACATGATACAAACTTAGTCGAGCCCTCAATTCACATAAAACAACATCAAAAACACGAATCGCACCTCGATTCAAGCCTAATGAAAACTAAGGAATTCCAACTTCTACAAACGACGCCGAAACCTATCAAATCACGTTCGATTGACCCTAAATTTTGCACACAAGTCACAAATAACACCACGGACCTACTCCAAATCCCGGAACTCTAATTCGAGCCCGGTATCAACAAAGTCCACTCTCGGTCAAACTTCCAAATTTTCAACTTTCGCCATTTCAAGTCTAATTCAGCTACGGACCTCCAAATCACTATCTGGACATGCTCCTGAGACAAAAAGCACCCAACGGAGGTAACGAAACCATCAAAACTCCAAATTGAGGTCGTTTACATATAAGTTAATATCCGGTTAATTTTTTCAACTTAAGCTTCCAACCCTAAGACTAAGTGTCTCAATTCATTTCGAAATTCCTCCGGACCCAAACCGACTACCCCGACAAGTCACATAACAGCTATAATGTACAAAATGAGCAGTAAATGGGAGAATGGGGCTACAACTCTCAAAACGACCAGCCGAGTCGTTATAACGATGCAACAAGGAGGACGCAGCAAGGGAGGAGCTCTTTCAAGTAGAACTGATAAGAAAAAACCTAGCCATAATGGTTACTAGAGAGTGGGCTAAAAAATCAGGAAAAGAAATTAAAAAGCGAAAGGTTTTCCGGGTTTGATTTTGACGGAAAATCGGAAAGTTTTAGGCCATAACCCACATATGTCATTGGCAAAATAATGTTTATTGCCAACAAGAAAACTTTATTGTTGCCGATTCTGTTTAAAATTTAAATTTATTATGTTAAAAGTTATATTTTTTGCAACAACTAAAATTAGTTGTTGCCATTTATTAAAATTCAGCAACAATACTATAGTTGTTGCTAGAACCTTGTTGCCATTTTTTAAAATTTAAATTTTATTATCTAAACATAGAATATGGCAACAAAATTAACATGTTTTCCAACAAGAAAATTTTGTTGCCAAAAAGACTATGCGATAGCAAAAAATTTATCGAGTTGTCGCCATTTATCCATTTTACCAACAATATTTCATTTATTGCTAATCTATTGTTGCAAATTCCATACTTTCTTGTAGTGTTTCATCTTCTTCTTCAAATCATTCAATACTTCAAATCATGGCCGAAGAAGAGGATGTTATTGACCCAACAGTTCATCAATCGGAGAATACTGGGCCTATTTCTGTGAGGGATGTCATGGATTCGACTAATTTTTTGTACATGCATCCATCAAAGAATGTTGGATCCACATTAGTACCAATACCTTTTGATGGCGTAGGATACAGATCCTGGAGGAGAGGAGTTCTGCGAGCCCTCTCAATGAACAACAAAATAGGTTTCATTACTAGCAAATACAAAAAGCCTAATACTAATTCTGCGAATTATGGCCAGTGGGAAAGGTGTGATGATATGGTCACCTCATGGATTTTGAACTCGCTCTTGAATGACATAGCAGACAGTTTACAGTATGTGAATGATGTGAAGGAACTTTGGCAGGAATTGGAAGATAGGTATGATCAGACCAACGGAACTAAGATATATCAACTTCAAAAGGAAATTAATGACTTGACTCAGGACTCACTGGACATAACTGTTTATTATACAGAGATGAAAAAGCTTTGGGAGGAATTAAACACATTAAATGCATATACTCAGTACAATTGCTAGTACACCTGTGGAGCAAAGGCTAATATGCACAAGGTTGAGCAAGATAAGAGACTAATTGAGTTTAATGGGCCTGAATGAGGTATATACTGTGGTAAGGGGAAGCATCCTGATCATGAACCCGTTGCCCACAATCCTTTTCTATTCTAATTCAAGAGGAGAAACAACGAGAAGTTAGACCACATAGTCAACTAAGTTTGGAATCTGTGTCATTGAATATTCATGGACAAGGAAACAATGGTTTTAGAACAAATAACAACCAGATGGTAAACAATACAGGAAATAACTCTTATAGATCAGGGAGCAGAGGTCCTGGTATGTTTTGTGACTATTTTAAAAAGTCAGGCCACACTAAAGATAAATGTTATATGTTACATGGTTTATCGCAGAACTTCAAGTTCACAAAAGGAAAGAATATAGCATCTGCTACAAATGTTCACGGAGGACCTGAAGAATTGTAATCTGGAGGATCTGATGTAGCTGATAATCGATGCCAAAACCAGAACCACAATGCACCCAACTTGACAAAAGAACAATACAATCATTTGTTAAACCTGCTGGAGAAGCTTCACATTGAAAGTGTAACTGAGGCCTCAAACAACATCACTGGTGGAGTTGTGAATTTCGCAGCTATATTGGCTTGATGTACTTATGATGAAGTTGTTGGTGATCTTTCAAACAAATGTTCCCATTTACCTACTAATTTTTGGATTTTAGATTTTGGAGCCTCAAACCACATGTCCTACAATAAAAACTTACTCACTGATACTAGAACCTTACCATATCCCTTTTTAGTTACTCTACCAAATGGATATAGGGTTAAAGTGACATAGATAGGTGATGCAGTTCATAGTCCAAAGCTGACCTTACACAGAGTGTTGTTTGTTCCCAACTTCAAGTTCAATCTCATTTATGTTTACTCACTTACATCACAACTCAAATCCAATGTTAATTTTTCTGCTTACTCATGTTTATTGCAGGCTCCTTCAATAAAGAGGCCTATGGAGATTGGTAGAGTAAGGGTGGTACTGGTGGTCGACCATCGCGTCCAGTAGCACGAGTTCTCGCCATCTGCGAGAGAATAGAATACAGGAATTTAGTTCTCGAATCACAAAGCCGCACGACAAGAATTTCAAGAATATGGAGTTTTCCTAAAGGTTCCGCAGCCTCTCGAGGAGAAGTACAGGCGTCCCCGTACCGTTCCGCGAGACTCTACTAAACCGGCTCATGACTCGCGAGGCCTAGTAACCTAGGCTCTGATACCAACTTGTCACGACCCCAATCCCGATCGTGATGGCGCCCAACACTAATGCTAGGCAAGCCCGACCAAATTAAATACTCTCAACCCAAATACGCAATCCGTTAACAAATAATACGATTAAAATAGCAAATATCAAAGTTCCAATCCGAATCTAAATAAAATAGTACGGAATATAATAACGAATATCCAAACATTCCCCAATAGATCTGGAGTCACGAGTCTAGAGCCTCTAGATGTAACAGAGTAATATATCCATAGTAATAAAGAAGTGTAGGATATGGAAAGACAAATGAAATAAAGGGGAGGAGTCGGGTCCTGCGGACGTCAGGCAGCTACCTCAACAACTCCTGAAAATAAACTTCACGAAAACGGCAAATAGCTCCACTAAGTCTCCGGAGCACCTGAATCTGCACACATGGTGCAAGGAGTAAAGTGAGTACTTCCAACTCAGTGAGTAATAAACATATATAATGGTTGAAAGTAAGAAATCCCGAAATATTACAATATAAAGCTATAATCAGCGATTCAGCACATAAAACGGTGGAACAACAACAATACCAGGACAAATAAGACAAATAGGTATAAATGCATGAATGCAATGCAATGCACATGACCGCTGCGGCGCGCAGCCCGATCCATTTGGGTACCCGCGCTCACTGTGGGGGTTCAGACTCCGGAGGGGCTCCTACAGCCCAAGCGCAATATCATCATAACATTCGCTGCGGCGTGCAGCCCGATCCACACTCAGTCTAGGTATATATATGCATGCAAGCCAATCGGGCACAGTCAAATTATTCATTTTAGTTTCAATTATTAGGAATTTTAGAGCTAAGTGTTTAAACCTTTATTTATTTAATAACCATTTCGAGGCAGTGTCTAACTCAAGACCGATATCATGAAATATGCTAAGCATCATGGAAGCAGTGATAAGGATCCCTGAAGGATGCACATGATAGGCACAAAGCCCCAAACAATTCATAAACTCCAAGTAGGATAATTACCAAACAATTTCTAGTCAAGAACGCAGTACGAACATAATTCGGAACGGACTAGGTCACAATCGACCCTGCACTCGTCATAAAGTACGTGTCTCGCCTCAATATAGCGTCACAATGTGATATACCAGGGTTTCAAACCCTCAGGTCATCATCTACATCTATTACTCACCTCAAGCCGGCCACAAGTCTAGCTTGCTATGCCTTTGCCTTTCGAATCAACCTCTTCGCACGCCGAATCTGATTAAAACCACAACGAATACATTACAATAGGCTAAAGAAACATAACCCAATCGAAAAGACTCGAAAAATACCAAAATTCACGAAGTTGGCAAAACCCGAGCCCCGGGCCCACTTCTCGAAAAATTACGAAATTCACATTACCGGATTCCTCGTCTCGCCACGAGTCCGTACATATAAATTTACCACAATCGGAGTTCAAATGCCCCTTCAAATCCCAAATTTTCATTTCAAAACCCAAGCCCTAGTTCTTCAAATTTATACCCAATTTTCCAAGAATTAAAGGTTGATTCTTCAATAAAATAGCGTTTCTAGGTCACGAGACTTACCTCCAATCAATTCCCGTCAAAACTCTCTTCAATTTCCACCAAAACGCTCTTGAGGTGGTTCAAAAATGGAGGAAACAATGAATGAGTCGCGGATGAAATATCATAATTAAACCCTTCTGTCGCCCAGCTTTTCTTCTACGCGAACGCGGTCAACACCCCGCGTTCGCGAAGGCAAATTTTTCCGTTGACCAAACGATACCCTACGCGAACGCGTCGACCCTCACGCGAACGCGATGGTCCAGCTTAACCTCCTACGCGAACGCGATACTCCAAACGCGAACGCGATGCACAGGACGTCCTCTTACGCGAACGCGATCCCTCATCGCGAACGCGATGAACAAACTAGGCAGGGTCCCCAGGCCCTTCTACGCGAACGCGAGGCCACGATCGCGAACGCGATGACCCAGAAATCACAACTGAGCGAACGCGATGTGCACCCCCGCGAAGGCGAAGGCCAAAAGTGGCCTGCAACAGCTGTGCATTTTCTGCAACACTCAAAGTCCAAAAATCATTCCGTTGATCACCTAGAATCACCCCGAGGCCCCTGGGACCTCAACCAAAAACACCAACCTACCCCAAAACATCATACGAACTTGTTCCAATCATCAAAACACATCAAACAACACTAAAATCATCATTTCACGTCGGATTCAAGCCTAAGTTTCTTAAAAACTTCCGAATTACGCATTCGATCACAAACCCAACCAAACGACGTCGGAATGACCTGAAGTTTTGCACACATATCAAAAATCACCTAACGGAGCTACTGCAACTCTCGGAATTCCATTCCGACCCTTGGATCAAAATCGCACCTATCCACCGAAATTCGCCAAAATGCCAACTTGCCAATTCAAGCCTAATTCTACTCCGGACCTCCAAAATCTCTTCCGATCGTACTCCTAAGTCACAAATCACCTCCCGAAGCTAACCGAATCACCGGAATTCACATCCGAGCCTTCTAACTAATAAGTCAACGTTCGGTTGACTTTTCCAAACCAAACCTTCCTTAAAGAGACTAAGTGTCTCATTTCCTATCCAAACCAATTCAATTAAACTCTAACTCACCCGTTGCTGATAATAAAACATGAAAGAGCAATAAATGGGGGAAACGGGGCTGTAATACATGAGACGACGGGTTGGGTCGTCACATCCTCCCCAACTTAAACAAACGCTCGTCCTCGAGCGGGTCGAGAAGCATACCTGAGGTCTCAAATAGGTGAGGATATCTGCTCCGCATCTCCTGCTCAGTCTCCCAAGTAGCTTCCTCGACGGGCCTACCTCTCCACTGCACCTTTACCGAAGCTATATTCTTTGATCTCAATTTCCGAACCTGACAACCCAAAATAGCCACTGGCTCCACATCGTAAGTCAAGTCATCATCCAACTGAACCGTGCTGAAGTCTAACACATGGGACGGGTCCCCAACATACTTCCGGAGCATAGAAACGTGAAATACTGGGTGAACTCCCGACAAGCTGGGTGGCAAAGCAAGCATGTAGGCCACCTCCCCAACTCTCCTAAGTATCTCAAAAGGACCAATGAACCATGGACTCAACTTTCCTTTCTTTCCAAATCTCATAACGCCCTTCATAGGCGAAACCTTCAACAAGACCTTCTCGCCCACCATGTAGGATACGTCTCGAACCTTCCGGTCCGCATAACTCTTCTGACGCGACTGAGCTGTACGAAGTCTCTCCTGGATCACTTTCACCTTCTCTAAGGCATCCTGAACCAACTCTGTCCCCAATACTCTAGCCTCGCCGGGCTCAAACCAACCAACCGGAGATCTACACTGTCTCCCATATAAGGCCTCATACGGTGCCATCTGAATGCTGGACTGATAGCTGTTGTTGTACGCAAACTCTGCAAGTGGCAAGAACTCAGCCCAAGAACCTCCAAAATCAATAACACAGGCACGCAACATGTCCTCCAATATCTGAATGGTACGCTCGGACTGTCCGTCCGTCTGAGGATGAAATGCGGTGCTCAACTCTACCTGTGTACCCAACTCTCGCTGAAAAGTCCTCCAAAACTGGGAAGTAAACTGAGTACCCCTATCTGAGATGATAGAAACTGGGACCCCATGCAACCTAACAATCTCCCGGATGAAAATCTCTGCCAACCGCTCCGAAGAATAGGTAGTACACACCGGAATGAAGTGCGCGGACTTGGTCAGCC